TATTTGTTGTAATAGTGGGTACAATGAAATAAAATAGTTGTATTAATAGAAAAAAACAAAATGAAACTGATGTTTGGGGCCCCTCTTAACGGCTCAAAAAATATAGCCACTGGTTTTCAATTTTTTTTTTTTTTTAAATAATTTTGGAATAAGAATTTTTCATAAAACACCCACATACTGATAACAATTCGGGGCCCCATCAGATGACCCCTACCCACATGACCATCAAACCTCCAATCTAATTCAATTCCATATTTATATTTTTGACAAAATTGCCAGTAATATGATGACTTTTTTCGAAATTACAATTTAATCACGTCTTTTTCACTTTTGTAAATCATATCACAATTTTTAGTTTGTTGCAAATTAGTGCACCGATTTGCATATCTCGTGCAATCTATATCACAATCTTCAATTTGTTATTCGACCACATCAGCTTTTCTGGAATGCTTTTCAGACTGTTTGCAACTAGTGCTGTAAACGACCAAACTGAACCGAGCTTGGGCTGTTCGAGCTCGTGTTCGTTTACGTTCGAACAGTATCCCTGTTCGTTCGTTTATTTTTTGAGCAAAAAATCGTATTTGAGCTCGTTCGTTTAATTGTTCATCAAAGTTCGAGTTCGTTCGTGTTCGAATAATTTAATACATAAAAATTTTTAATATGTTTGATTAACTCAAATTTTGTTCGTTCCAACTCGTTCGAACTCGAAAATAAAAGAATAAAATAAAAATACTTTTATATTTCAATTTTTTATTAAAAATATTGTGTAAATATATAGAATTATATTAAATTTTAGATACTCTATTATAAATATTATGCAAGTATATAAAAAAATTATATTAAATTACTTTTCGCGAACATAATCGAACGTTCACGAACGAGCTCGTGTTCGCTCGATTATTAGATGAACCCAACTTTCTGTTCGAACTCGGCTCGATTAACAAACGAAAGAGCTTTTGTCGAACACGAACGAGCTCGAACGAGCTTTTGTTCGCGAACATTCGATTCGTTTACAGCTCTATTTGCAACAAACTAAAGACTGTGATATAATTTGCAAAAGTAAAAATGTCGTGATTAAATTACAACTTTCATAAAAAGTCGTGATATTAAGGATAAATTTGCCTATTTTATTTTTCATGTTTAGAACTTTTACTAAAAAAAATCGAGTGATTTTCACCCTGACAGCTCAGATTATGATGTGGACAGTGCTACACGAGTTGGGAGTACCTGCTGTGTAAATGAACACAACACCTGCTGTGTGTGCTCCCCACCCTTGGATGATGTTAAGTTAACATTATTAATGTTAATTTAACATCATCCAAGGGTGGGGACCGGAGAGGTATTGTAATGTAGCAGGGGAAGCTGCCGTTTCGAGAAATTCGATTCATTCCAAAATTTTCTACGGATGATCATGAGACTTCCCGAAAATCGAAATTCTTGATCGCGGGAGGAAGACCCTTTTTGTTCAATAAGATACCAAAGTGGATGATTGACTCATTCTATACTATAAAGAATCGCAGGGAGCACACACACAGCAGGTGTTGTTTAAATGAACACAGCAGGTACCCCTGATCCGTGCTACACACCTACATAATTAA